CCCACTTGAAACTAATGTAATTTCTTCTTTATATTAATACGAAGTCACTGTAAAAATTTGAGCCAAAAAAAGGTGGTGTTTTCGAGAAAATTAAATTTATTTTTTCTTTGAAAATGTGCCACCATTTTTTTAATTTTGAAGCTTTTTATAAATTTTAAACGGGGTTTTGAAGAGAATAAGACCCTCAATAAAAATCAAGAAGAAAAATTTATTTAAACTGAGTAGAAAAAAAATTACAAGTGAAACCATTTTTTTTCACTGTTTTTTAGGGTTTTACCGCTCAAAATTCAAATGCGGCTAACTTCGTTAAAAAACGTTTTTACGAAAAATAAAAAATACGTGTCTCTTTATTTTTCATATAAAATAACATATTTCATCGACAGGTAATTCTACGAGTTAAAGTTAGGCGGCTTGCCTGATTTGAAATGGATTTATTCTGTCAATAAACTATAACAAGAGATTAAATTGTTTGCTAATTCTTTAATTAATAACTTTCGGAAATTTAATTATCTTAAAAAAATTTTAATTAAAATTTTTTAAAAATATAAATTTTCAAAATATCAAAATTAAATTATTTAGATAAGTTTTTAAAATTAAATTATTTATTAATATTTTATAAGTTTTTGATAAATATTTTCTACAAGAACTATTATTTAGAAAAATGCAATTTTATATTTTCTAAAATTTAATTAATTCTAATTAATTATTACAACAGTAATTCTTTAAAAATTAAAATTATTAAATTATTTAATTATTAAAAAAGGGATTTAATGTAATATATATATACCTACAAATAAATTTGTTTTGAATTAAATTTTACGATATTTTGAAAATTCGAAAATTTTTCAATTAAAATTAAATATACAAATTTAAAAATTTAATTAATTTTAAAACAAAATTTGAATAAAAGTTTTTCAGAGTTTTAGTTTAAATTAATTAATTTTTTTAAATTAAATTTTCAATAATATTAATTTTAAATCTTTGAAATTCAAGTAGTTTTTTATATTCCCAAAAATTAGTATTTTATTGCAATATGTGGAAGAAAAATCGAAAAAATCACATTATTTAAGAAAATTCAAACAAAGTTGACGAAAATTAATATTGTTAATCATAAGTCGATAAAATAAAAATTAGTTTCCTTTGCTTCAGTGCGCTTTTTGGCCCTGCGCGCAAAGACAAAAAATACAATATCTCCAAAAGTTTAAGAGTCTCCATCGATTTCTTTATGTCAAAATACTCGTGAAATCCTAAGGAATCAAAATATCACTATTAGAAAAAAATTAAATATAGGCTTATAAACAAAAAATTTGTTTAAACAATATTTTTTAATTTTTTATTTAAAAAAAAAAATTTTTGCAAATTTTTTCATTTTAATTGTTTGTAAATAATAAGTAATCCCTGGAAAAATCAATAAAATACATCCATATGTCTCTGAGATATTGCGTTTTCAAAATTTCAAAAAAAAATTTTGAAAACCCTGAACAACCGTAAATTTTTAAAATTTTCGAAAATCTCTTTTGGAATTTTTATTCGCATGTATTCCCCTACAATTTCTCAAAGTTTTACCAAAATTGGAGAACTGAGGGACAACTTTGATTTGTTAGGTATGATTTGACCCACCTTACTTTCTTCAGTATGTCTTTTCTTAATTAGAGATTACAATTGGGAAATTCATTCACTGACAGTTTGGTTCTATATAACATAATTATTTTTTTATTTCGGAGTTTCTGAAATATTTATTCTTCTTTCTTTCTGTTAATGTTTTATTTGTAGAAGAGAGTGGGGCAAACCGTCCAGGTGTTAATATCTCCGAAATGGCGAAATTGTCAAAAGTGCTATTTAGAAATTTGAAACAACCATGTGTATTATACCTTATTTTTTCAATTTGACATTTTTTACTTTTGTTTGTGCAACGCTGTGAGCAAAAGTTTTTTTTACACTTTTACAAATTTTTTTTTAAGGAAATTCTGAGGAAATCGTGCAATATTTCCAAATGTTAGGTCTTAGGTTTTGAAGGTACACACCTCAGGAATATTTACCACCAAAAACTTTGATGAATTTGCAAAGCGTTTTTTTAAACAAATATTTATTCTCAAAATGAGCCTGTGGGCAAAGCGAACAGTTTTCGGTGAGGCAAACCGGCCATAGGATATTGTCATTTTATCAGAGTTTCAAGAAAATTATTATTAATTAGAATGTTTTTTTCATTAAAACATTTACTTTCAATGGAAAATAATTGTCTTCTAATGATAATTAGACCTTTTAATATTGTTTCCCTGTTAATTTCACACATTTTTGTTTTGTTATTAAAAAAATTATTTATTTAATTAAAATTCAATCCTGTATTATTATTTACATTATTACAACCATTGTTCACATGATTCTTTATGTTTGTTGTTATTGTAGATTATACAAATGCAATATTGTAGATAAAAAACCCAAATGGCCGGTTTATCCCAGGGGGTGGGGGTAACCGGACAGTTTGCAAATTTTTTTAAAATTAACACAGCAACTAACCAGTGTCAAAATTTGTGAAGTGAGTCATCATTTTTGGATAGGTGAGTATTTTCTATGATTTTAACTTTTTTCTACTCTATACGATAAAACAAAAATACAAGTTGAACAGTTTTGCAAAATTTTAATTTTTACAATAGTTATTGTTAATAACATTTTTTGTCTGAATTTCGAAATTATTAATTATCTATCGTTCTATAAAAGGAATCTATTTGATTTTTGGAATGGATAATAAGAAATAATACTACTTTTAATTAATATTTGTCATTATATAAAATTTTAAAAATTGTGAAAATTATAAACAATTTATTTAAACAATTAAAAATATTTTCATGTTCTCCCAACATTTTAAAAAACTTTTTTATTGAATATTACTCCTTATTTAATCACGAATAATTACAAAAAAAGAAAAGTGAGTATTCTTAATTAGGTAAAAAGTTATTCAGGTTTTTCTCTGAGCGCGCCACGCGTCTTGCGTGACAGGCGTAAACGTCGTCTCGGGACGCACAGTGGGATTTTTTTACAGCCTACAATTTTTGAATGATTTAAGTGTTCTTTGATTTAAATTAAAGGGGTATAAATTCTTTACACATCCCAAATTAATACAATTTTTAAAAAAGGACGTTTATTTTCTTATTCCGCTACTGTGCATGATCTAAACCAGTTCAAATTAATCCAATATGACCACCAGGCAATTAATAAAACGTAAAATAATTTATTGAAATTGTTGTAAACAATATTAATTAACAAATAGATATCTTTGATTCTTCTTCACTGAAAAAGGTTTTTTCGCGTTTACTTTTTCATTTAGGTTCATGTAAAGAATATATGTCCTCCTTGTTTAAAAAAACTTATTTAAATTGTTATAAACATTGTTAATTAACAAATAGTTCATTTTTGTTCCTTTTCACCAATAAAAATTTTTTTTCACGTGTAGTTTTTTATTTAGGTCCATTTAAAAAATATAAGAATGTAAGTATAACTACTTATTTTTAATAGGATTTAAACTTAAAATAAGTTCTTATACTTATATTTTTCAAATGAACCTAAATAAAAAACTATACATGAAAAAAAAAATTGTTTAATGGAGAGGAATCAAAGTTATCTATTTGTTAATTAATATTGTTTATAACAATTTAAATATATTATGTCTTAAACAAGGAGAACACATACTCTTTAATTGAACATAAATAAAAAAGAAAACGTAAAAAAAATATTTTTTAATGGAGAGGGACAAAAATAAACTATTTGTTAATTAACAATGTTTATAACAATTTAAATAAGTTTTTTTTTAAATGGAGGACATATATTCTTTACATGAACCTAAATGAAAAAGTAAACGCGAAAAAAAACCTTTTTTAGTGAAGAGGAATCAAAGTTATCTATTTGTTAATTAATATTGTTTACAACAATTTAAATAAATTATTTTACGTTTTATTAATTGTCTGGTGGTCATATTGGATTAATTTGAACTGATTTAGATCATGTGCAGTAGCGGAATAAGAAAATAAACGTCCTTTTATAAAAATTGTATTAATTTGTTAACTTTAATTGAACTAAAAAATTATAAACAATTAAAATTTTTAAAATCGGTCTTGAGGGATGTGTAAAGAATTTATTCCCCTTTAATTTAAATCAAAGAACACTCAAATCGTTCAAAAATTGCAGGCTGTAGACATTTTTGGACAGTAAATTGTAAAAAAAATCCCACTGTGCGTCCCGGGACGACGTTTACGCCTGTCACGCAAGACGCGTGGCGCGCTCAGAGAAAAACCTGAATAACTTTTTACCTAATAAAGAATACTCACTTTTCTTTTTTTTGTAATTATTCGTGATTAAATAAGAAGTAATATTAAAAAAAAAAGTTTTTTAAAATGTTGGGAGAAGATGAAAATATTTTTAATTGTTTAAATAAATTGTTTATAATTTTCACAATTTTTAAAATTTTATATAATGACAAATATTAATTAAAAGTAGTATTATTCCTTATTATCCATTCCAAAAATCAAATAGATTCCTTTTATAGAACGATAGATAATTAATAATTTCGAAATTCAGACAAAAAATGTTATTAACAATAACTATTGTAAAAATTAAAATTTCGCAAAACTGTTCAACTTTGTATTTTTGTTTTAACGTATAGAGTAGAAAAAAGTTAAAATCATAGAAAATAATCACCTATCCAAAAATGATGGCTTACTTCACAAATTTTGACACAGCAATAAAAGATAAAGTATAGGTGTCTCTGGGAAAAAGTTGCGCAATTAAATGATCTTTCAAGCAAGCCATCGGAATAATGAAATCGGTTGATTCATTTAGACACAAGAGTGAAAAAACCGTTAGTATGGACGGTTTGCCCCACTCTCCCCATATTACAAAAAAATTTTTGTTACTTTTAATGTTAAAAATGTCACTAAATGAATGCTTCAATTCATCTTGGACTTTGAAACTTTTATTGCAGTATTTGAACTTAAAATCTTTCAAAAAATTATTCAATTGTTTATTGTTTCTCAGAAATAGTAAATTTGTTGACGCTTAGCGTCCATGCTAACTTCAAGGATCTAAAATTAATGCTTTAAAATTTAAAATGATTGAATATTATTATTCTGTTTTTCTCTTTTGATTTGATATTAGTTTTCGGGTAATGCTTAATAAATTTTTAATGATGATTGCAATAAAGACAATAATTAATGTCATGCAAAGTAATAAAAATCCATAGACATCAAGTTGATCCATTTGCCACCAATGCATATCTGCCGATGATGATCGTAACGAATGTGCTCCATTTTTTACGATATATTCTATCCAATAGCTTGCAGCATCTCTTGGATGTAATTGTCGATCACGAAATATTTGTGATTGATATTTAGCTGCTTTCCTGTGTTATTAGGGAAAGAATTTATTAGTACAAATAAAATTTTAGATTGATGCTAACGGATTATTAAGTTTCCGTTATTATATTATATGAATGTTTTTAATCTACCTGTATTTTGAAATGCTTAATATTTCTTGTAACGCTTCATTTATTGTATTATCGGTTATTTCTTCATACTTTATACTAATGCACATATTTTTGGAGACTAGCATTTCAATATTTTGTATTTGATCATAAAATAAGGGTGTTCCAATAACTGGAATGCCAAAGTAGACAGCTTCCATGACACTGTGAATACCACCGTGTGAAATGAATAACCGTGTATTAGGATGTCCTGAAAAAATAACTATTTTACATTCTCCTTAATTGTTAATTTTTATTGTAATCATAAAATTTTGCCAAATAATGATAATTAAAATCGTATGATGAACATAAATTTTAAGATTAAATACTTAAGACAGATATTTGTGGAATCCATTTCATGGCAATGACATTATTTGGAAGCTGAACCGGAAATGAGTTTGTTTTTGATTTTATTAAAACTCTCATTGGTGCAAGTTTGAAAAAAATTGAAACAATTGAGGGAAGCACATTATTGGGAAGAGATTCAATATGTACTAGTGTTCCAAAAGAAAACAATACAACTCCATGTGTACTTTCATCTAGCCATTGTTTTAATTTCTGAAATAAATCAAAGAAATAAAAATTGCAATTCATGGATACTAAATTTTTTTTTAATTATTTCTCACTGGTGTTAAACTAGAATCATCTTCCTCAATGTGTAGTCCTCCAACTTCGATGATTGCTGGAATTATCGGTCTTACTCCGTGTAGGGTGTAAAATGTGTTTATAAAAAATAAAGATACCATCCTCTCTACCTCCCTCACTGTTGGCATATTTGAGCCTAAATATTTTTTCATTGCTCCGGATTGATTTTCCGTGTATGACTCATATCTGTATGAATTGATCACGGATCTTAATGTATTCTCCATTCGATCCCAAAATGTCTTTATTTCAAATCTCTTATAATAAAGTGATGGGTAGAATGCTGTTGATTGTGGATTTCCAATTATTATTGATTTTGGAGCTAGTTCTAAACATGCTGAAAGAACTACTATCGGTATGTTTAGAAATGGACCAAGACCATAGTAGCAATTTGTTGATAGGCCCTTGAAAAAATGTTTTGTTATTTTATTTTGATGCTTAATTGACAATTATTCAAATACAGATTATAATTAAATAATTTTATTGTTCTAAATCCCCTTCGTTTTCAGTTTCATTTACCCATATTAACTTTATTCCCATTAATGCCTACCCCTTTTAATATACTTGATATAAAGATTTCGTTGGACTCTTCATCTAAACTAACAACTCTTTATAGTCATTTGCTGCAGCAGTCCGTCTGAAATTAGAAGTACTCTTTATTCGAGTATCAATCTTACTCGATAATATTTAGCCTCTATGAGCGCAAGCCAATGTCATAAATTATGTATGAGTTTAAGGGGAGAAGCTGGAGTCCAGCTATTTTTTATAGTTCCACAATCTCTCCTAGTAATCATCTTATTATTCTCTCTCCTCTCATCCTTTCAACCACTTCTCCATGCAGTCCCCACATTTTTAGAACCTTCTCATTCATTTTTAGGGTTCCGTACACCTACGGTGTAACGGCGGAACCCTATTGGTGAGACTCTGTTGTCCGTAGCCAAATCGTGTCCTCCCCCTAGCGGCTAAACTATTTGACCTAAAGAGCTCAAATTTGGTCCAGATATGTATTTTCACACGTAGATTACAGGAAAAATATAGCGAATGTGATTGGACGTGATGGGCATAGCGTTGTCAAGGAAATAACAAGATTTTTGGCCAAAAATGCATAAAAAGTGACCATTCCCCCCCTTAACTTCTAAACTATTCGACATGGAGAGCTGAAATTTTGCACGCTGGTGTATTTTTACTCGAATATTACAGGAAAAATATAGAGAACTTGATATGTAATGATGGCCATAGCGTTGTCAAGAAAAAACTAAAAAATTTTTAAAAAAAAATTTTTTTTCTCTAACTTTTACATTATTTGACCTAATGAGCTGAAAATTGATATCCTAGTGTATTATTACAGTCTGACGACAAAAAGTTTATTTAAGAAACTTTTTAAAAAAAAATCAAAAAAAAATTTTTTTAAATTTTTTTTAGTTTAAACACGTGGCATTAAATATTTTAAGGAAGAGAGTGAAATTTTAAGAGAATAAATGAGAGATTGTTTTCTGACTTTAATTTCTTAACTAAAAAAAAAAAAAATTGGACAAGTGCGAGTTGTACTTGCACTGCAATGGCGGGTTCCGTACACAAATATTAAAACAATACTTGCAACATTTATCGGTAATTGATAGAATTAAAATAAACAATTAAAAAAATATATTAAAATCATTTGATAAAAAAATAACTAAAAAAAATTAAAGTATTGTATATCTAATATTGTAAACAATAATAAGCAGAGGAACTATAATTTTGAAAATTTTGTTCCTCTGCTTATTATTGTTTACAATATTAGATATATACAATACTTTAATTTTTTTAGTTATTTTTTTTATCAAATGATTTTAATATATTTTTTTAATTGTTTATTTTAATTCTATCAATTACCGATAAATGTTGCAAGTATTGTTTTAATATTTGTGTACGGAACCCGCCGTGTGCGAGTACAACTCGCACTTGTCCAATTTTTATTTTTAAATAGACACCTGAAGTTTTTGACAAAAACTTTTAATTTATCTTAACACATGCAAACCCCCGACGATGGTTATCCACTACCAAACATCATGGATATTTTTGGTAGACATTGTCATGGTGGCGGGGATTGTCACTGAAGGACAACTCAATGGGTTCTACGAATTTGGAACTATCGTTTTTTACCGATACAAAAGGTACAATCTATTATATTTTTTCGAATAGATACATAGTACCTTTTGTATCGGTAACAAAACGATAGTTCCAAATTCGTAGAGCCCAATAGCAAGTTGTAAAGAATCTGTAAAGGACTCAAAAAAAGAAAGTTTGTAGGTAAGGTAGTAGACAAAACGTCTAATGCAAGCCAAAACATTAAGATAAGAAAGGCACAGCGAGAATTAACGATGATTGTCAAGGTGACCGAGGGAATTAGTTATGCTGAAGTTTTAGGAAAGCTTCGAAAAGAGGTTAATCCGATTAACAGCCGAACAAGAGTAGAGGGCGCAAGACCCACTAATTGTAAGAAAAGAGATGTTATTTTAAGCTGAGTTCAGAATGAGTGAGGGGGCGCACCGGTTTTCATAGCTCTATAAGTATACTTCAGCATGCTTTAGTATAGCTACAGCTATAAACATCGGTGATCACCCTCTCTCATTTTAGATTCAGCTTTAAAAACAAAAGGTGCAACAGACAAGGTGAAGTTCACTGAGTAGTTAGTAAAGTAAGTTGAAGTTGGTGAGCCGAAGGGTTAGCATGGAGATTCGCGATATGGATTGCTTTACTAAGAATGACGAAGTCAAGGAAGCTTAAGAGCAGATTTTGTGGAACAAAATCAGTTAGTAAAAAGTAGACGGTCCAGGGGCCACACTGTAAAAAGAAAGGTGCTAATTTAATACCAATTTTTGGTATTAAATCTTCATTTGGTTCTATTTTAATAGAACTTGTACAGAAAAATAGTAGTAGTTCTGTGGGTTAAAGAATAGTCCAGAATAAGGTGGGAGTGGTTTTTAGTGGATCTACAAGAACAAGAGCGGTTATCCCCACATAAATTTAGATTAAATCCAGGTATCTGCAATTTTGCAGATTTTCCACTTTCGACTACAAATAAAGAAAACACATTCCCAACCCAACGGTACAGGAAGCCCATTTTATCATAGTCATATAAAATGTAGAAAACAAAGAAACATTATATAAATAATAATTAATAATAAACCGAGTATTTCAGTCAAAAACCGTACAAAAATGACTAATTCAATGCATGTGTCCAAAAACATGCTCTGACATTTATAATGATATCTCGCGAACCGAATAATATTTTTTAACTTTTTTGGTCTTAAATTAAAGATGAGACTTGCAAGGTAACACCTATATAAGTTTTCAATTTTGTCTCCAATTTTTAAAAAATATGCCAGAGTTTAAAAAATTGACAAAAAAAATTTCATTTTTTAACTTCTTTTTAAATTTGTTGATTGCTAAAATCTTTTAGTAATTTAAAAAAATTTTCATTCATATATCATTCAACATAGAATCTTATAACCTTTCGAATGGTATATTTGTTAATTTACTGAGATTTGTTTTTACAGAAAAATCGTGATTTAAAGATTGGTATGTTTTTGGGCCTTGCTCGTGGAACCGTACCGATAATCTCCGACGTTAGTGTAATAAAATAAAAAAAGAAATATGTACTGAATAATAAAATAAAACTGAGGAATGAAATTACAATTATAATAAATAATTCACTTACTTCTGTGATGACAAGGTCATAGCTTGGATTTTTCGGTGGATTTCGAAGAAATTTTTGCAATTCTTCGTGAGCCATTAGATTGCAAACATTGACACCATAATAATCTTTTGAAAAAGCGACAATATCGGCAACAATTGCAATAGGCTGTTCAATAGTTTCAAATTGTGTTACAGGATGATCGTAACTAAGATTTCTCAAATTAATAATCGTTTTATAATTTTCGTGTGGATTTTTATGTTCGTAATATGATATGACATCAACTTGATGCCCTTTTTTAGCTAAACCATTCATAAATGACATAAAAAATATATTATGACTCTTAAATGCCAATGGAAATATACCTAAAATTCTGTACGACTCAACTTTTATTGAAAGAATTATTGAAAATATTATAAAAAATTTTCCAATTTGATTCATATTTATTCACTAAATTTTTATTGAATTTTCTTTATTGGTTAAAGTATTTTTTGTTTTACTTATGAATAGCAAAATAATACTGTTCATTACATTGTCGTATTTCTTTTAAATTTTTTGTAGAAAATAGAATATATTTATTGTTTATTGGAGTTACTACTTACATACATTAAATTTTTTTAATTATCTGCTAGATAAGAAAACTTGTCGTTTTGCGAAGGGCGAGCATGCTTTGCATGTTGAAAATAAATTATACAATATGAATATTAACTGTAAACTAATATACATATATATTTTAAGTATGAAATTGGAATTACTAATTTGTTATCTAAAATTATGCTTTGTGGTGATAAATCTAAATTATTAATGAATACATTTGTAATATTTTTTCATATAATTTATATTTTATTCATTATATAAGATGTCATCATTGTATAATAAGAAATCACATATTGAGACATAATATTTTATTTAACCGTGTATTTTATATTACATGCAAAGATAAGGATAAAAACGTTTATTTTTATAATAATATATTGAAGTATTTTTTACCTACTATTATTTCTTTTAGGCACTTAAATAAAAATATGAAAAGAACTTTTGCATCGAAAATTTCTTAGTAAACAATTTGTCCACTGATTTTTTTATTGTAAAAATCCAAAAATTTGCATGTTAGTTTTAAATTACAAAATTTAAATATCAATTAAATTCTCTTTTCCATTATTTAATTGAAAAATACATTATTTATAGAAATATAAAAAATAATAAAATTTTTGCTTTTGATTAATTTTTACTAATTAACTGAAATTAATTCAAAGTAATTATTTTAAATAATTAATTAAAAATAGTTGAAAACTTATGTTTGGTACTAAAATCCTTTAGAATGTTAATGTATTTTTTGATTGAATCAAAATTGGTTTTATTAATTTCTCTTGTAGGAATTCTTTCAAATTAAAAAATATAATATAATAATAATAAATAATATAATATATATAATATATATAATAATAATATATAATAATATATAATAATATATATATATATATATATATATGAGGCATTCTTTCTCAAGTGGGCCACCCCTTCTCTCCATTTCAAATTTAATCCAAAAATCTTTTATAATAGCTCAAATTAAAGGTAAAAATGTCAGCTTTTCAATGCCGTTGGGCCCTTTTTGAAATATTAATCTCCAAATAAACTATATATAATTTAATGACAAAAAACACTATGAACAATTCTTTTTCATATTAAAAAAAGAAGAAAAACCCAATTTTAAAAATGCTACAGGGCCTACAACATTAAATTATATGATAAATTAACAAAATTTCATATTATTTCCTAAAATTAAAGATGGCGAATCCAATATGGCGCCCAAAATTTAAAAAATGTATAATTTTTGTTCAAACTCACCATAAAAAGGTTATTGGGATCGCTGATGACGAATTTGGTGTTAGTTTTTCAAAATTCAAAATGGCGAATCAAAAATGGCGGACTTAGAAATTAAAAATTAATCGGATTTGTCTCAAATTTGTTATTTGGGGGTTTTTGGGATCGCTGATGACGAATTTGGTGTTAGTTTTTCAAAATTCAAGATGGCGAATCCAAAATGGCGGACTTAAAAATTAAAAATTAATCAGATTTGCCTAAAATTTGTTATTTGGGGGTTTTTGAGATCGCTGATTACGAATTTGATGTCAGATTCTCAAACTTCAAAATGGTAGATCCAAAATGGCGGACTTAAAAATTTAAAAAGCAATCGGTTTTGCCTAAAATTTGTTTTTCGGGAGTTTTTGAGATCGCTGATTACGAATTTGATGTCTATGGTTAGGAATTTGATGGCAGCTTTTCAGAATTCAATATAATGGATCTAATATAGTTAACGTAATATGAAACATTAATCAGATTTGCTAAAAATTCATTACTGTGATATTTTTGGGATTGCCGATTCTATATTGAGTATTAGAAATTCGATATTTTGAATGCAATAACGCTGAAATATTAATTGCCAGCTATGTGATTGCTGCTGATTTTTATGTTTTGTATAGAAATTATTATGAATAAAGCGATACTCAAATAACCCTAAAGAACTTAGATTTTTAAATAAATAAATAACGATAATTTGTCCAATTTGTATTTAATTCTCAAAAGCTGACATCAAATTCCTAATCATAGACATCAAATTCGTTATCAGCGATCTCAAAAACACCCGAAAAACAGGTTTTAGGCAAAGCGGATTGATTTTTAATTTTTTAGGTCCGCCATTTTGAATTTTGAAACACAAACACCAAATTCGTCAACAGCGATCCCAAAAACCCCCAAATAACAAATTTTAGGCAAATCCGATTAATTTTAAAGTCCGCCATTTTGAATTCGCCATTTTGAATTTTGAAATATAAACACCAAATTCTTCATCAGCGATCCCAAAAACCCTCAAATAACAAATTTTAGTCAAATTCGATTGATTTTTAATTTCTAAGTCCGACATTTTGGATTCGCCATTTTGAATTTTAAGAAACTAACACCAAATTCGTCATCAGCGATCCCAAAAACCCCTTTATGGTGAGTTTGAACAAAAATTATAAATTTTTCTAATTTTGGGCGCCATATTAGATTTGCCATCTTTAATTTTAGGAAATAATATGAAATTTTGTTAATTTATCATATAATTTAATGTTGTAGGCCCTGTAGCATTTTTAAAATTGGGTTTTTCTTCTTTTTTTAATATGAAAAAGAATTGGTCATAGTGTTTTTGTCATTAAATTATATATAGTTCATTAGGAAATTAATATTTCAAAAAGGGCCCAACGGCATTGAAAAGCTGACATATTTACCTTTAATTTGAGCTATTATAAAAGATTTTTGGATTAAATTTGAAATGGAGAGAAGGGGTGGCCCACTTGAGAAAGAATGCCTCATATATATATATATAATATATAATATTTTTCAAATGTCACTGTATTAGTTTTTTTATTAAAGAATTAAAATTGGTCTCATTTTTTTCACTGAACTTAAAATTAGTTTAATTAAATTTTTTTTCTGTCTTATTATTAAATTTTTTTCACTAATTACATGAATTTGATTGAATGACTGTTTTTACTGATTAATTTAAGTTAATTGGATAAATTTTTTAACTAATTAAAATTAATTAAAAGTATTTCCATTAATTAATTAAAATTAATTAAACCATCTTTTTACTAAATAATTAAAATTTATAAGATTAATCTGTTTTTAGCTTATTAAATGTAGTTTAATTAATTTTTTTTATCAATAAATTAAAAATTATTTTTGTTTTTTAAATTTTATTGAAAATTAGTTAATGCTAATTGTATTAATTTCTGTTAGTGAATAATTAAAATTAGTTTAATTTTTTCACCAATTAGTTGAAATTAACGGATTTGATGGTTTATTCGGATTATTCAAATAATTTTTTTTTACTAATTAATTTAAATTAACTAAATTATTTTTTAATAATAATTTAAAAATAATTAGAATAAAATGACGTCACAGTTTTAAAATACATGCTATGCATAAACTATATGACATCATAATGGTTTAAATACCATTGATTAAAATTAATTAAATTAATTTTTTTACTAATTAATTTAAATTAATCTCTCTTTAAGTTTGACTTGATTTTCTCTTTGAAGCACATTTGAAAAATGAGTATTAGAATAACTTTTATCGTGTAAAGAACTAAAATTATAAAAAGCAATAAGAATCCATAAACATCAAGCAATTCAACTTGCCACCAATACATATTTACAGCAGGTGATCTTAGGGATTCGGCTCCATTTCTTATTATATATTCAATCCAAAATGTAGCCGCTCTTTTTGGCTTTACTGGTCGATCTTTAAAAATTCGTGACATATTTTTCGCAGCTTCCCTGTAATTTAAACATTTTAATTTTTTTTCATTATAACTTAAAAGTGTGCTTATTTTTTATTTTTTATTAATACTATTATTAATGTAAACATTAATTGAGGCGCTGGATCTTAAAAGGGCACTTTCCGCATAGACTTTACATGGTGAAAGTGACCTTTTAAGATCCGGAGCCTCAATTAATTACTTAGATGAATGTTTTTGTGGTTTTTAATATATTAATTTGAAGAATTTTTAGGCCAATTTCCATTACCATAGTTATTATTATATTTTTGATAAAACAACGTTTCCGTAGTATAGCCACTACCCTTTCAAGTTTACATTATAAAACACTGAAATTAACAATGTTCAAAGCGATATTTGATTTTACAACTTTTATTTTTATATATAATTACATAAAATCTAGAAAAAGTCTATACTTACGTAAAACATACAATCTCTGTAGAATAAAAAATCCCTAAATCTCTTTAGCATTAATATCTGAATTTTTAGTATTTTCATTATTTGCACTATAGGGATGAATAAAATCATCCTTATATATTAATTAAATTATTCAAATTTTTTATTTAAAATGACTAAACTATTTTCTTGACAATTATATAATTATATAATTATATAAAAATAAAAATTGTAAAATCAAATATCACTTTCAAAATTGTTAATTTAAGTGTTTTATAATGTAAACTTGATAAGGGTAGTGGTTACTACCGAAACGTTGTTTCCATCAAAAATAAAATAATAATTGTGGTAATGGAAATTGGTCAAAAAATTCTTCAAATTAATTAATTAATTAATTGCTATTGTTAATTATTATTACCTATAATCGTCATATTAATTTTTTTTTCACTCTGTCTGACTTTTGTGTATGTGTTTGTTTTTATGTTTTTTGATAAGTAGTATTATATTTTTTCAATTTATTAATTTTATTTTTTAATTAACTAGAAAAATCTTTATCAATGTTTTTATTTTTTTATTTTATTTTTCTCTTGCGTTGGAGTTACAAATTATAAACACTCATAAAACAGAAATTCAGAAAATTAATGAAAACTTGGAATATTGTGAAGAAGTTGTCATTGAAAAAGAGAAATAATGCAAAATTTATTCCTTTACCTACTTCTAAAAAAATTAGCATTTTGTAACAAACATTGTAATTAGCAGAATGAAATCATGGAAATTAAAAAAATTTTCTAAATAAAAAAAACGTAACAAAATTCTGTTTTTCTTTGAAAAAAGAAAATAAGTTGTACCATTTCCATTTATCGATTATAATTTTTAAATAAAATTCCAAGCATCCATTTTTATTAAGTTTTATAACTACTCGCGCGCGTTATTTTATAGATAGTATAAATATTAATTAGGTTACTATTATTATAGCAAAATTTAAATATTAATTAGTGTAAATATTAATAAAATTTTATTTATTGATGAGTAATAATAATTCATTAGTAGCAATTAATATTTCTTGATTAGTAATATTAATGAGCAAATTAAATTAAAATATAATTAAAATTTTTTAGTTAAAAATAACTTTTTACCTATAGATTGGATTGTACAAAATCTCATTTAGTGCATTGTCCATAATTTTTTCACTAATTTCCTCATGATTAACGTGAATGGCCATTTTTTTGGTTCTCAAAATGTCTATATTTGCATCTTGATCGTATACATATGGTACTCCAATAACAGGTACACCATAGTAAATGGCTTCCTGTATACTGTGCACACCACCGTGTGTTATAAATGCTCGCGTATTATTGTGCCCTAGGAAACGAAGTATCAATAATTATATATTTTATAAAATTTGTTTTTTTTCAAAATTAATTTTTTTGAACTAGTAAATTTAAAATTTGACATTTTGAATGTTGCAATTAAGGAAAGGAATCTTTATTACACTGAGTAAAATTATTTGACAATAATTGAATTGTTAATACTGAATTAACAAATTATTTTGTTGTCCTAACAATTCAGATTTGTTGTGATAACAACATATTAGTTTAAACAACAAAAAATTATTTAACAACAATAACAATTTGTTAGTTCTGTATTAACAATTTTTTTTCTCTGTATGTTCTTGTAATTGATGTCGATGCTGAGCGTCGAAAAACATTTTTTCATGAAACCAAAACTCCAGGGGTCTTTTTTTGCGATAGTCTAGCTAAAAGCTTTATTTAACAAGTTTTAAAAATAGTTTTTTTTAATTCCAGTCTTCGTCTCTAATTATTGGGTCTGTTACGAAAAAGTGGAGTTTTGTTAGCACAGCAATTCATTTTCAATTTGAAATTTATAAGCACTTATGTATAATAAAACATAACTGAATTATATACATATACTCCTTATGTTTATTAATAATGAATTTAGGACTTAGTCCTTAATTATAAAGGACAGACATAGAAAGATTGTCATGAAAATAAGTTGCTAGGAAACTAGGATTCCAGTTACTCACTATCGCAATTCGATAAGATTCCCATAATCAACATGTGACTGTTAATCAACGAAATTTTACTTATTCCCAGCTATAAATTTGCTACTAATTTCAATAATCTTGCAGTAACATTACAGTAATGTTGCTATAACATTCTAGTAATATTGAACTATAATGTTACTGCAATGTTGTTGCAGCAAAAGTACTATGCAATGATGCATAGGTGAGATATATATTAAGCTTGTAGCAACATTGTAGAAGCATTACAGTTAAAAATTGCTAACATTGTATGACAGCATTGTCGCAATATTGCTACTAGGTTACGCGCCACCTAGAAATACGCCGTTAGCATTTTTTGTTTATTAAGAATTTTGATATCAAGTAATAATTGCATGAATTATAAAGAAAAAAATTCATTTACTCAGTAGGGGTATTTGTGGTACCCATTCCATTGTCTTAACATTCTTAGGAAGTCCCGGTGGAAATTTTTTCCCCTTTTTCGCTTTCAGTAGCACTCGAACTGGTGCAATTTTTGAAAATGAAGCATAAAGAGCATATATTTTTTCTTTTGATAATGATTCGAAAAATACGATTGATCCAAAGGACATATAGACAACACCTGCTTTACTATCATCCATCCATTGTTGCAAATTCTAGAAACAAAAAATTCATCCCTTATTCTTGTTCTTCAATAAAAAGAATATATTTTTTGTTTTCAAAATTCTTTTCAATTGAAACATTAAATATGAAATTAAGTCAAAGTAGATTTAATAGTATTATAACTTTCATTATTTTTTTGGCTTTTCTTAGGTTTATCTTACTTTCGATATTGAAGAATCATCCTCTTCAACATGTAAACCTCCCACTTCGATGAATGCCGGTGTCAAGGGTCTAATTCCCTGTAAAGTGAAATGAGTATTTACCACACTCAATGCAACTGTTCTTTCAATTTCTCTGACCGTTGGCATGTCAGGACTCAAAATTTGTCTCATCAATTTTGTTTGTGGTTCATCAGTGTAGGAGAAAAATTTATATATTAGGTAATTGCTCATTATCGTATTCTGTAAACGATCTGCAAATGTTTCGATTTTCGCTTTTGGCATCAGGAAATTTGGAAAGAAAGCCGTTGACAATGGATTTCCAATTTGTCGACTAATCCACGGAAATTCTAAACTTGGAGTAGCCGTTATCGTTGGTACATTCCAAAGATATCCGATACCGTAATAACAACTCAAGGCCCATCCCTGAAAACGATTTGTTTCTTTGTTTATTATTAATTATTATTATTTTTATTGTTATTATTAATTAGAATTATTAACATATGCTTGATCATTATTTATCATCTAATTATGAAATTTAGTATTCAGTTTGAAATGAAAAGTATGTAATTACCTCCACAATGATGGCATCGTAGGGCGGATCATTTGGTGGGTTCATAATAATATCCTTAATTTTTGGATGCTCCATAAGTTTACACAATTTTGTTCCATAATCTTCGCTTAGAATTCTTATTCCATCTTCAAGAATTGCAAAACAATCATCTAGATCTTCGAATACATTTGGTGGAAATGGAAAATCAATTTTTGCCAAATTGACAATTGTTGTTAAATTTTCAACTGGTTTGGGAAATTCATAGTGTGAAATAACATCCACCTGATGACCATTTTTAGCTAAAACTTTCATCAACGCTTGAAAGAATATATTATGACTTCTAAACGCAATGGGAAAAATGCCCAAAATACGATATGTATTTACTTCCAACGCGAGACAAAAAATTATGAATATTATTAAATTTCTTAAAAAATGCATTTTGTCCACTTCACTCTTTAAATGCCTATTAAAGTTAAAATATAACGAGTCACTTTAACTTGCCATTCAAATACATTAATATTGATGCACCGTATATTTAAGAGATAACAACTATTATTGAAATTATCCATGCAAAAAAATACGCGAAACTACATATTTATGAGGAACTTATTTATAGAATTTCTTTCGAAATATCGATAATTCAAAATTTTCATAAATTCAAAATTAGAAAAATTTTTATGTACTTTTTTTCAATTACTAATTAATAATAAATATGAGATGATAAATGTGAAGAGACGAACCCAATAGGAAATGAGATTTCTTTATATGAAATTGAATTGTCACGATTTAATTCGTGAAATCCTGTTGTTTCCCTAATACCCATGACGTTTCCGTTTCCGGAGAGGACGTGCGTACATAATGTGTCTCTGTGAATTGTAGATTTTTGCGAGCGTGACTGTTTCTTTATTGCGAGAAAATACAGTGAATGATGTATATAAAAAAATGACAAAAATCAAATCATTTCCGGATACATCCCCCTTGGTGTTGGAGTACTTTATCTCAATGGTATTATGTATCATACATATAATACTATTGAGCGCGTACATCATCTCTATACCCGGTTTTGTAATTGACGTGTCTTGTGTGAATGCGCTCGTTCTGCCGAATACGATTCACATTAAAAGCACGCCTGCCGTCCCGTCAGTTTTCGAAATGATTCTCCGACACGTCTGTACCTTTAGGCGTAAATTGTATATCTGTATATATAAGCGCGCTGCAAAGCGATTTCGGAAACTCCGTCACTATATATGGGCAATTCCACGGGAAATTGTTCTATGACATTTTAGAATCGGTTAAACATTTTTTTTCTCGTTTCTGATAAAAAAATATTAAATACGTATTTTTTTATTTTTCCAAAATTGACAAAATTTTGGAGTTATGAATTTTCGAAATTTTGAATTTTTAAAAGTAGACCTATTTTCAATAGCTTATTACTTTTAAAGCATTGAGTTTAGAGAAAAGTTGCCAAAGGAAGAAAAATTTGGTTTTTCTTTAACTTTTAAGAAATTTGAAAAAAAAGTTTTTTTAAATTTTTAATAAAAAATTTTTTTTTATAAACAAATTAATTTTTTTTAAATTTGGGCGTTATTAATTTCAATTTTTTTTATTTATTTATACCTAACAATATACAGAAAATTTTCCCGAAAGAACTGAGATGGGCCGACTCATAGTTTTCATTCTATAAATTTTTCAATTTCGCCGTGCAAACTCTCAATTTGACATAATTCGCGTCGTGTTTTATATGGTATGAAATGAAACGTCTAATGTAACTAAGTGATCAAATTTAATATTTATTATCACATAATATTACATTCACATAATATTACACATAATATTACATTCAATTTTTCCAGTTTTATTATTTACCTGAAATCATTAGTTTCATATTTTCACGAATCGAGCATACACATACTCTGTGTGTGCCACCCGAACCGGCTAAAACACAATGCTCTGGACGTAGAGAACAAAATTTTGAGAAAACGATCTTCAAATCGGGGTTTTCATTTTTAAATTTCTTAAAAATATCTTTAAGATTTCCCATAATTAATCTATTTTGAACAGTTTTATTTTGATTGCCAATTTTTACCTTTTTAACGTCTTTTTGCCCCGGCATCATTGAGCTTCATTGAAACATGAAAGAATTCAATATGATTTATGTAAATGTTTATAAAGGATGGCACACACAGAGTATATGTATGCTCGATTCGTGAAAATATGAAACTAATGATTTCAGGTAAATAATAAAACTGGAAAAATTGAATGTAATATTATGTGTGCACGGCGAAATTGAAAAATTTATAGAATGAAAACTATGAGTCGGCCCATCTCAGTTCTTTCGGGAAAATTTTCTGTATATTGTTAGGTATAAATAAATAAAAAAAATTGAAATTAATAACGCCCAAATTTAAAAAAAATTAATTTGTTTATAAAAAAAAATTTTTTATTAAAAATTTAAAAAAACTTTTTTTTCAAATTTCTTAAAAGTTAAAGAAAAACCAAATTTTTCTTCCTTTGGCAACTTTTCTCTAAACTTAATACTTTAAAAGTTATAAGCTATTGAAAATAGGTCTACTTTTAAAAATTCAAAATTTCGAAAATTCATACCTCCAAAATTTGGACAATGTTGGAAAAATAAAAAATACGTATTTAATATTTTTCTATCAGGAACGAGAAAAAAATATATTTAACCGATTCTAAAATATCATAGAAAAATTTCCCGTGGAATTGCCCATATATACGTATATGTGAATATCTCACCAACTCAACCGGTTAAACGAACCATGAATGACAAATCAACAACGAATCAGAATACAAGATTTACACGAACAAATATTGTAAATGGAGTTTAACATATAAGGGATGGGGTTTTTTCCCTCACTTTTATCCTGATGAGCACACGTTTTTCTTATAGTATATAAATGTGGAAATTATTTTACACGCAGATATATGGAACACCAGTTTAAAAACTAACTATGCACTAAAGAATCGATTTCGCAAAAATTTATCGTTTTGCGAAATTTACTATCCGTTTTGTAGGAATTTAGTTTTGAAACTTGTGTTTATGTTCTTTTGCCTATCAAACTTTGAGTGTCGACATTTTGATTAAAATGATACTGAATGTGAAATACCGCTTATTGTCGAAATAAAAGTTTTATTTGATTTCATTGGAAAATTTGGTTTTATTATGACATGACGATTTATAAAATTGAAAATAGTGAACATCTATAAATTGTAATTTTATTTAAAGACTCACAAAAACTACTATGTTTATTGTGAGATGAGGATGAAAATGTAGAGTTTGCTATAAAAATAAAAACAATCAAACTACTGGCTCCCAGTTTAATTTTCTGTAACTTTGGGATTTTGAAGTTCTTAACATTCTAAACAAGAGCTACAAAATCCCAAAATGTATTCTAAATTGTCTCGGAGTCAAAAATAATGTAAATCCAGCGAATACATTTAAGAAAAATTGATGACATTCACTGTACTTTAAAACTCACAAACTACGTCACACTATTTTGGACTACTTTTTGATCGCTCTCCCCGTACGGTACATTTCTTACATACAAAGTAAATCTTTTTCCACTGTTTATATATCACAGATAGCATGACACTCCTCTATTAAGAAGGTAACGTACTTTGTGAACGATTCTAACAGTAATATAGTTACACCAAACAGAGGTAAAGTGAAATATTTACTCTCCATTAAAACTACCCCATCCAGAAATTACCCATAATAAAAACAAGACTCAGTTTTAAAAGCACTTGTTCTTCCCAACTTCGACTACTGCTGCCAGGTTTATGACGATATTACGGATGAGCTTAATAAAAAACTAGAAAGAGCACTGAACGCCTGCATTCGTTTTGCATATAATTTACCTAAGACTGAGCATATAACTCAATTTAGAATTAAATCAGGTTTATTAAATGTTGCTACTAGAAGGCAATATTTTATTGGTAACTTGTTTTATTCAATTATTAATAATAAGACTCCTTTATATCTTTTCGACTTTATAAAATTCAAGAATGTTAATCAATCATGTTTTGCTAAACTCCGAGAAAGGAAAAATATTTTAGATATACCCTTTCATCGTACTTGTATTATGCAGAGATCATTCATTGTTAGAAGTGCAAGACTATGGAATAAACTTCCAAATCTAATTAGAGAATCAAATAATCAATTTATTTTTAAAAAATTATTTTTCGATTTTTTGTTTAAAAAAACTAGTGGGTTTTTCGAAATTACGTATTGGTAATTGTTTTTTTCCACTTTTGTTTATTTTTTAATCATTGTTGTCAGAAGTTATAATTGCTTTAGAATTGTTATTTTCTTTTAATATATATTTTAGTTTTAAGTTCTACATTTTTGTTATATAATTTTAAGAATTGTATCAATATTTACTTAGTTGTAAATTTGTGTACATAGTTCCTTAGTGGACTCTAAGCCCTAGGAACTTGATCTAAATAAATAAAAATAAATAAATAATCTGGTCAATTTTTATGCTTTTGATCGACGTATTATATCTACCATTTTCAATTTTTATAAACCGACATTGTATTTTTAATCAACGACCCCAAAAATCTCAGAGTATCAAGATTCAAGCGAATCTTGACCGTTTTTAAAATTGTTGGCCACCATATTGGATTCGACATTTTAAATTTCTTAAATTTAACGTCAAATTCAAATTCAGCTACCCAAGGAACATTATAATACCTACGAAAACAAATTAAATTAGATTTAATATGTTTTTTCAAGTTTAAGTTTCCATTCAGTTAAAGCTACGTCCCAATAATCTCTGCTATTCTACACTTTGAAGTTTGTTTACTTAAATTAAAATTTATTGAAATATTGTATTAATCTCCAGTTCGCTCGTTTAAATTCTATTTATTTAAAGTTCTGTTCTTCTCCAGAATTCCAGTATCTCTTTTATGGATAAGTTGCTAATCTGCTCAGGGTCAATAATTGCTTGGCCCAAGCTAGAATGTCTGATCCTAGCTAACACTGGGCATGCAGGTAATATGTGAGCCACTGTTTCTTTGCACGTCTTTCATAATGTGCATATATAGGTAAAACTTCTCTACCTATTTTGTGCTGTTGGTAATTTAATAAGCCATGACCCCTAAGCAGACAAATTATGATTCAAACTTTGATCTTATGAACTTTTAGAAGATAGCTCGCTCGCCTACTGTTGAGTATTAACTCTAACAGAGACTACACTAGCCTTTCTACCCCAAATTTTTGCCCAATATGTTTCATGCTCTTCTTGACTCTTTCTTTCTACTGCTCCTTTAACAAAGAACCCCATTATTGACATTGCTGGCTCTATATCTATCAGTACTGTCTCAGATCCTGTTTTCGCTAAGACGTCAGTTCTTTTGTTTTCCTTCATCCCCGAGTGACCCGGTACTTAGATGAATGAAAGTTTATTTACTGAACTCGACTTATCCAGTATGCTAAGGCATTCTCAGAAGACATTTGATTCTATTATTGTATTTTACAGAACCTCTAAGGCCGCCTGATTCTCCACAAATATGCTAATTCTTTTGCCCTTTGTTCCATTTGCA